AAAAAAAAAAAAAAAAAAAAAAAAAAACACTACACAACAACAACAACAAAAACCAAGGGAAGGGCTGGAGGTGTACATCAGGGTAGAGCACCTCTGTGTGGCCCCAGTGACAAATGACATGTGACACATGGCAAATAGTTTTGGTACTAGGTTGAATCCTCAGCATCAAAACTAAAATAATGCTGCTGCTGATAATGATGATGGAAACTGAGCTGGTGTGGTGGTACACACACCTGTAATCTCAGCACTTGGGAGGCTGAGCAGGAGGATCATCTTGAGCTTCAGACTCGCCTGAACTACACAGTGAGTTCAAGGGCAGCCTAGACTACATAGTGAGACCCTGTCTCAGGGAAAAAAAAAAAGATGTGAGAGGGTGAAGAGTTTATCTGTTCAATAAAATCTAAAAATTACGTAGTTTTAGAATAATGTACTGGGCATGGTGGAGTGTAACTAACCCCGCTACTTAAGTGGGAGGCAAGAGCATCACAATGCCGATGCCAGCCTGGGCAACTTAATGAGGACCTGTCTCAAAATAAAAATACGAAGAAGGCTTGGGATATAGTTCAGCATTCTCTAGGTTCAATTCCCAGTACCAAGAGAACAGAGGAAGAGAAAGCAACAGAGACAGAGAGAGAGAAAGAAGGGGTGAGGGAAAGAAGAGAAGGGAGGGGAGAGGAGAGGAGAGGACAGGAGAGGAGAGGACAGGAGAGGAGAGGAGAGGAGAGGACAGAGGAGAAAAAAAACAAAAGAAAAGGTCCTAGGGCAGGCTGTGGAAGCTGATTATTCCTCTAGCATGGTCACTGCCACCTGGCTCTGTCTGGCTGGGTCACACCAGCCCCTCACATCTGTCTGACTCTGCCTTGGGAGCAACCTGCTTTCCTAAAATATGCTTGGGCCTCTGGAGTTTGTGACTGCATTCCTGTAGTAGATGAGGTATAAGACGGCACATAGAGTATTCGAGTGTCTACTAAGTGAATGTAAAGCTTGTTTCTCTATCTCCTTCTCATAGGTACTGACCATAGCATTCCCTGCATTTACACCACTCGATTATGGGGAAAATGATCCCGAGCGAGAATCACAGGTTTCAGCGTAGGTACGCCTAGTCATTTTCATTTTTGAAATGAAAGCCTCTGATCATGTCCCCCACGTTAAGTACACTTCACCCCAGTGGGTACGTTTGTATGCAATACTTACAGTTTGTTCTTGGTTTTGTGGTGAACTGGTGGCACCATTTAATATCCACTGTAAGTTCTGTTCTCCCATGACTAGGCCGGACCCCAGGATAGCTGTGCTGGGAGTCGGGGTGATGGTTATGGTGGGACTGTTAGTTAGGACAGAGTTGGCACCCAGTGGCAGAGTCTGGACCATGGCTGGCAGGGGCTCAGTAGTACTTTGTGGTGGGGCTGGTGCTGCCATGGCCGATGCCACCGCTGCTGCTGCTGCAGAAGCCCCAGCAACAACAGAAAGTCCTGGTGCGATGGGCTGTGGTGCCTGGGGGTGCGGAAGAAACTCTTGATGATTAGCAGCAAACTGCGTGCTGTGGAGAACAGGCACTTCCGGAGGTGGTAAGAGAGCAGGGGCGTTGCCAAACGCAGCTTGCTGGGAACCAGGTCCTAGGGAGGGAGCAGGCGGAGGAGCAGACGGAGCTGAGGCTGGTAGCAGAGGCTGGGGTGGCGTGGAGATGCCAGGCTGCAGTACAAGCGGGAGAGACAAAGATGCTGAATTTCCTGTGGGTGGCGGGACATCACTGACTGACTCTGCATCACCATTAAAACTTTCAATCAAGGCAGCTGGTAAGAAAAAGAAATAGAAACATATATACATATCCCAAGCCTCACATACACCACAACAACACAGTCATGATGGCCTAAACAAGAACAACTGAAGTGTGTCGGAGCCGAGTCCTCCACTGCAAGCAGGGCAGCCTAAGTGCCACGTCTGCTGGTCAATACACTTCCAGGTGCAATGATCCAGCAAAGTCTAACCATGAAATCATGGGTTTGCAGGCTCTTCTGGAACCTCCCTTTTCCTTTTTCTTTTTGACATGACTAGTGAATACAGACAGATTTCCTTTCAAACACAGTCTGATCTTTGCATTCGAAGCTTGTTTGTGGGTCCTATCCACTCGTGACCAGGGTATAACAGCAGAAGGAAAGCTTACAGCTCTTCCCATCTTCTAAAGCCATGAAGAGATTCTGGGAAAGAAGACCCTCTTGTTTGGGAGCTGAAGGAAGTCGGGGCAAAGATGGAACTGAACTGAAAGGCTTATTTTTCAGAGCCTTCATAGAAGGCCTGCCTCATTTAAGCTAATGGAAGTATTTCTCTTTGCTTGTCATTGCTCATGTCAAGTGTGAATTCCCTTTCCCAGCTGTGATGTGAACAAAAAGAGAGGATAACAAACCTGTCTGCTGAGGATCTTCCTGAATTGCTGTGTCATCTGAATCCTGGAACATTGATTCAAAGATGATTGCTGGTGAAATTGTGCTGAGGTCCTGGCCCTGTGTCTGATAGTGAGAGAGAGAGAGAGAGAGAGAGAGAGAGAGAGAGAGAGAGAGAGAGATGTGAGACCTGCTATCCTGAGACAATTCCTCACCATTAGAAAATATAGTTAGTGTAGTGGAAGTAGAATGATCTTTTAATATGCTTCCTGTTTTTACCTTCTCCTGTTCAAAGTGACCTGAGATATTACAGATCTGGGTCCTCAAGAGTTGGTAAGCTATGACTTGCAGGTTGACTGCCTGTTTTTGTAAATAAAGTTTTACTGGAACACAGGCACAGCCATTCATTCACAAATTATTTATGCTGCTCTCATAATACATCAGCAGAGTGAAGAAGTTGTCACAGAGTCCATGTGGTCCACAAAGCCTAAAATATTTAGTATCTGGTCGTTTACCAAAAAAGCTTCTAAAATACCAATTCCCACATAAAAGTAGGATTGTATAATATTCATTACTGGTATAGTTAGTCCCTTCTGAAACTCATGTCGGAATTTAATCCTCACTGTGAAGTGTTAAAGGACTGAAACTTAACCTGTCTATGGTGTTTAGAGGTGAGGCCTTTGAGAGGTGATTGTAATTATACAAGGTCATCAGAGTACCCCCATCCTACTAAATAAGATTGTCTTGATAACAAGAAAGAAAGGTGAGATGGGCGTTCAAGGTGGTATGGCCGTAGACAACAAAGAAAGAAGTCCGGCATGGCAGCACAATGCCTGCAATCCCATGGACTCCGTAGACTGAGACAGGAGGATTAAAAGTTCCAGGCTGGCCTGGGCAATTTAGCAAGATCTCATCTCAAAATAAAAAATTTTAAAAGGATGGGTGGAGTCTGGGACTGTAGCTAAATGGTAGAGTACCCCTAGGGTCAACCCCCTGGACCACATGACCCCCCCCCCAAAAAAAAACAACACACACATGCAGAAGCAAAGAGACCAGAATATACACACTCATGCTTCCTGTCTTTTGTCACGTGATGCCTGCACTATCTACGGACTCTGCCAGCAAGGGTGTCAACACAGGGAGCCCCTTAACCTTGAACCTACAGAATCAATAAGCCAAATCTTAGTTGGTAGTCTTTATTAGCAAAAAAATCCAGACTAAGATAAATGACCTGCAATTTGGTTTTCTCAGGTAATAAGGACAAATTATGAATGTTTTTCAAGGTCATTATATACTATCTATGATTTTTTTCTTCAGGGATTGAACACTGAACTACATCCCAGCCCTTTTTATATTTTTATTTTAAGACAGGAGTTTGCTAAGTTACCTAGGCTGGGCTTGAACTTGCCATCCTCCTCTATCAGCTTCTTTCCTCTCTCAGCCTCCTGGGATGCTGAGACTATAGGCACGCACCACCATGCCTGGTCTGTGATATTCTGATACATACACATGGTAAGAAATCAAACAAATCAAAGAAACTTACAATGACAAGGAAGAAAGATAGCCTTGGACTTAATAAAAAGTCAGAGGCATTTAAAGAAAGATAAAAGGGTGGGGGACAGGGACCCCATATGATACCTGAGGACCTAACTACTAATAGGCACTAAATAAAATGACCACTCTTCACTTTAGTTAAGGGAAGGGAAAACTGCAATCCCTTTCTCCATAGTCCACCTCCACCCAGCAGCCTACAGGGCAACAGTGACGAAGGCACCAACCACAGAGGCGCACGCAGGGGACAGCGTGGGAAGGCAGGGGCAGACAGGGTCGGCCCGAGCAGGCAGCGCCAGGCTTCTCATGCCTTTGGCTGAATACTGCCTGGGACTACGCAGGCCACAGATCACCAGAACTCAAGAATGGGCTGAGATCTGGATTTTTATGTAAAATCTACTAATTTGTAAATAAAAACAAATCAATGAAAATAATCTAAGAGCAGAGTGTAGAACAAACGAAAATTTGTTTTTTTAGGCCAGACTTTGCCTCAATGCCAACTTTTGTTTTCAGCTCACTTTGCAACACCTAGAATGAATGATCTCTCATGCAGCAATATGGATTGATTTCTTAAACATGAAAGTGTATCATCTCAGTTACAAAAGCACAAAAGTAGGAAATGTGGATCAGTTGTTACAAGTAAGGGCAGCCTTAGGAAGAGGGAAAGGGGCCACAGGGTTGGCAGGAACATTCCTGATGATCTTGGGCTGGTTACGTGGGCGTGAAGAACTGTGCTAAGACATCAAACTGCACATTTACACTGCTCTTTTCCGTTTGTATACTGCACTTTGAATAAAAATGTTTTTTGTTTGTTTCCAGTACTGGCCACTGAACCCAGAGCTTTTTCACTGAGCTATATCTTCAGTCCCTTTTATTTTGAGACAGGGTTTCATCAGGTTGCTTGGGCTGGGCTTAAACTTGCCAGCCTTCTACCTTAGCCTCCTGAGTAGGTGGGTTACAGATGTGTGTCATCATGCCAGCCAAAAAAAAAGGAAAGGAAAGTGCAGGAGCCACTGCCAGACTTCTGGACAAATCCCCGGGGCAGAATGAGTGGGAACCGCTCTCCAGAGGAAAGGAGACAGAACAGCTGTGCCTCTGGGCCCTGGAGCAAAGAGCAAAGAGCAGGGAGAACAGGGTGGCCTCAAATGCATGATGATCCTCCTGCCTCAGCCTCCTGAGTGCTGAGGGCTCCAAAAAGGTCTTTAAACAGCCAGGTGTGGTGGTGCACACCTGTAATCCCTGCACTTAGGAGGCTAGAGCAGGAAGATTGCCATAAATTCAAGGCCAGCCTGAACTACATAGTGAGACCCTGTTTCAAAAAAAAAAAAAAGAAAGAAAAAAAAAAGAAAAGGGCCTCAATCATTTATCACAGTCCTGGCTAGAGGAAACTACTAAGACATTTAATAGAGTTCAGTCATAAAGGAACATTACACCCAGAAACTTAGGTGAGGTAACTCAGAGGGCTTCTAGCCCACCCAATATATAAATTTCTTTTAGAAATTAGTTCTGTTGTGCCAGGTGTGGTGGCACATACACATGTAATTCTAGCACTTGAGAGGCTGAGGCAGGATAGCTATTGAGTTCAAGGCCATCTGGACGACATAGTGAGACTATGTCTCAAAAAAAAAAATTAGTTTTGAAATGTGAATATGAATACAAATCACAGGAAGTACTTGATGTTCAGATTGATACACTGCAACTTAACAGTTTGTCTGCTGTCATTTCTAACCTGCTGTTGCATTTATCTTTTTAATTTCTTTTCTTCCCCTTTTTTTCATTAAATTTCTTACATGTTATTTTTCAGTTCTAGAATTTCCACTTGGTACTCTTTTTAATAGTTTTTATTTCTCTGAGATTTCCTATTTGTTCAATCATTTCTTTGTTCAAACATATTCTTTTATGTCCCTTTTTTTTGGTTTTTGAGTTTTAAAGATAATCTTTTTAAAAAGTTAACACGTGCACACATGGAATAAAAACACAAGAAGCAAAGAACAAAGTCATTCACAGTCATAAGCAGCTTAGTTGGATGTATCCTAGGTCCTGGGTATCCATACACAAAATGCGATTTTCTGTGACAGAAATTGTATAGTGTGTTGCTTATTCTTTCTTTTTTCTTTTGTTTCATTCTTTGTCTTTCTCTCCTTTTCCTTTTCCTTTTCCCCTTCCTTTCTTCCTTCTTCCCTCCCTTCCTTCCTTCCTTCCTTCATACAATGTGTTTTTTGAGAGACGGTAGATGTATGTAACTATGTAAATTAGGCTGGCCTTGAACTCACTATGTATATGTGCTGCCAAAGCAAGCACCTTGAACTCACTATGTAGCCCAGGCTAGCCTTGAACTTGAGGGGATCCTTCTGCCTCAGCCTCCAGAGTCTTGGGATTGCAGACTTGCACCGCCATACCCAGCTCCTTTATGTCCCTGAGCACATAGTAACTACTAAAAATCTTTGTGAATTCAAACATCCAGATGGGTCATCACGAGGTTGCTCTCCACAGATCACCTTTTCTCTTGAAGAGGGGTCATGTTTTAGACAGACCGTGGATTCAGTTACACTTCTCAGAAGAATGTTGATTTATCTGACTTGAACATTCTGTTGACTCTGTTTCCCTTGCAGTGTAGGGCTGCTGTGATCTGTTTAGCTCGTTAGTCTTAGTTGAGCTGCCTAGTCTGTCCCACGCACTCATCATCTGCAGGTAAGCCAGAGATGTGAGCAATTTACATACAGAACATGAGGCTCCCCACTGGCAGCTCTTTCTCTCCGAGGCCATCCCCTACCCTCCATTTCTAGGTGCCACGGTCACCCTGAACTCTGCCCTCTAGGTTTTCAAATCAGCAACACTGTTTTCTCTAAATTTGGCCACCTCCTCTGGGGTTTGCCAACTGGGGCTTGCCCAAGGCCTGCAAGGCCACCCAGTCCTTTTAAAATCCTCTGAGCAACCTCGTCTTCCAAGGCTATGTCTGCTTGCTGCTACCTCCTCACTGGTGCCTTCACATAATTCTTTTTTATATTCTGTGTAGTGTTTGAAGCTGTCTTCTATGGGAGAGCTGGTCTTATAAAAGCAACTCTGCTATTACTAAAAGGAGAATCCAGGGCTTCAGGTGCTTATATAAAAATGCAGTTTCCGATGCCACTAGAAGAACCAACATTTTTATTTATTTGATTTTAAAATTTTTTTGAGATGGGAGTCTCATTGTGTTGCCAAGGCTGGCCTTGAACTCCTGGGCTCCACTGATCCTCCCAAGTAGCTAGGACCATAGGCATGTGCCACTGCATCCACTAAGATCTTTCGGTTCTTTCTTGCTTTTTCTCTCCTTCTCTCTTTCCTTCCCCCTCCTTCCCTCTTTCTGCTCCCCTCCCCTTCCCTCTCTTCCTTCTTTTCTTTTCAGCAATGGGGATTGAACCCAGGGCCTTTGCACTGAGCTACAATTCCAGCTCTCTTATTTACAATTTTTTAATATTTCAAGATACGGATTTTCTATGTTGCTAAGTTGCCCACCCTAGGCTCAAACATGCAATCCTCCTGGCTTAGCCTCCCAAAGTGCTGGGATTACAGCTGTGCCCCACAGTGCCCAGCAGAACCTACATTTTTAGAAGTGCTACAATCGACTCCAATAACCCAACTTTAAGAAAGAGCAGCTGTTTCACAGCATGCCTAAATCTCTCAGTCTCTATTCAAATACTTTCGATTGCATTTATTCATTATGCATGCAGTGATGGAAAAAATCCAGCTATATTTCCTTACTAGCAAATATCAAACTCAAAATTAGTTTTAGCAACCCAGGAAAACATTCAGATTGTATGAAAGAAGACTCAATGCAGTGGTCTCTATCATCATGGAGACATGGGAATGGATGGAAAACTTACCAGTAAGAATCAAAACAATGAGGCCGAGATAGAGCAGGCTTGTCTTTTAGTAGAGGCCCACTGTACAAATTCTCTCAAAAACCCAATTAGGTGGATTTAAAGGAGGAAGGCTGAGCCAGGTCAGAAAGGCAGGGCAAGAGAAGGTCCCCAAATTGGAACTCTGGAGATATCCTATAGTGCCAGACTTGAAGTTCTGCAAGGAAAAACCCTACCTTCTGTGTCACCACTGTAAACACAGCCCTGACACAGGACCTGAAGTAGTGCTCAATAAATATTTGGTAATGAATGAAAAAAGAAACTTTCTGGGGCCAAGAGCCTCTCAAGTGAATGATGTGTATCAAAATGCATTGTACAATAGAACAACCTCCCCCAATAGTAGCATATCATCAAGAGAAGGAGAAAAAATCCTAAATGGTCAGCCATTAAACATAATTAAATCTAGAAGACTTCACACTGGCCTTGCTCAGTTTTTCCACCCAAAGGAATGCTCAGTTCCTGCGTCTATTTTTCTAACACCCATATCCCAGATACACTTACTGTATTGGAATTTTCTCCCAATTCAGAATCTGTGGACAGGAGGTGCAAGTCACTCAAATAAAGTGAGTGATTTGTATCCTGTGAAAGAGAAAAAATAAGGAATGAACACCAAAAATCAGGATCCAAGGTAGCATATTATGTAATGCCATACTTGACTGCAGCATAGTTAAGATTCCAAATGTTTGCAGGTGTGACGTGGAGCAATATGACCCACCCAGAGCAAGGCCTGAGCGCAGCATTTCACTTTTTTTTTTTTTTTTGAGACAGGGTGTCACTATGCAGTTCAGGCTGACCTTGAACTTGCTATGTAGCCCAGGCTGGCCTCAAAGATGGCAATCCTCCTGCCTCAGCCTCCCAACTGCTAGGATTATAGGCATGCACCAAAACACCTGGGCGTATCATTTCACTTTTAAGACTCTATTATTTCTAGAGCCTCCTGCTCTAGAAATATAAAAATATAAATTTTTATATTTCTGAAAGATAGTTAATAGTTTCTAAATTATTGCATGACTCGGGTTCCAGAGTAATAAATGCTATGATAATATGCAGGTAATAATACTTGTGTAATTGGTTTCATCATTTATAATGTGGTTTCACATGACTCATCCGTTACTCATATAAACCTTGGGAGCAGGCTGGGGATTTAGCTCAGCGGCAAAGCGCCTGCCTGGCAAGCGCAAGGTTGTAAGTTCGGTTCCCGGTACCGGAGAAAAATAAAAAAAAAAAAAAAAAAAAAAAAAACAAACCTTGGGAGCTTTACTCCATACCCCATTCAGAATAGGAGAAAATCGATGCTATGCCAGCAGGACTGATGTACTCCCAAGCATGTGGCTAACAAGCACAAGACAAACCTAGTGCTCTGACTGAAAAGTCAATGGTCCTTCTCTTGAGGACCACTGTGACCTCAATATGGGCACCTCAGGGGCCTGATTCAGAGTGGTGCTGAGGGTTAACTGTTCAAACTCTGCTGCCAGGCTAACGCTGAACTCTCAACTCCTAGAATGTCAGTCACGATTTGCACACTTTGGGTGGAGACCCTGCCTACCTCCACTATTGCATGCATCCAACAATATGACAGCCCCTCATCCACAAAGCTGTTTTCCACAGTGTCAATTACCCACGGGCAACTGAAGTCTGAAAATATTAAACTGCAGAAAGAAATAACTCCAAAGGTTTTCTGTTGCTGTTGTTGCTTTGTTTTTGGTTTTTCGAGACAGGGTCTTGCTATGTGGTACAGGCTGGCCTTGAACTTGCTTATATAGCTCAAAATGGCCTCTGAGTCTCAGTAATCCTCCTGTCTCAGCCTCCCAAGTGCTGGGATTATAGGTGTGCACCACCACGCCCAGCAGTTCCTAAACTTTGAACTGCACATCAATCTGAGAAGTGTGATGAAATCTTGAGCCACACCCACTGTCTTGGCCAGGCTACACACTCTACCCACATTAGTCACTCAGGAGCCATCTGGGCCATCAGACCAACTGTCACACACTGCTGCAGGCCTGTGTTCAAGCAACCCTTATCTTACTCAGTAATGGCCCCAAAGCACAAGGGTAATGATGCTGACAATTTTATTATTTTATGTTGTCAGCCTCTTCCTGCGCCTAATTTATAAGTTAAACTTTAACATAAGTATGTAAGTATAGGAAAAAACATGGCAGCACAGCATTGGATATTACTGCAGCTTTAGGCATCCACAAGGAAGCTTGGAACATGTTCCCCGCAGAGAAGGGAGGACCTGTGTACTCACTGAGCACCTACTATGTATCGGGAACTGTTCAGATCCAAGGACACAATATAAATATGACAGACTCTCTGCCCCTGGAGAGCTTCTATAGTAGTGAAGATAAAACAAGTCTACAGTGTGCAGAATGATGTTAAGTGCTATAAAGAGTGAAAGGAATAGGGAATATTGAGATAGGAGTTTTTGTATTTTGTTTTGTGGAACTGGGGATTGAACCCAAGGCCTTCACAATGATTTACGCCTCTAATCCTTTCTTATTTTCATTTTTAAAGTTTTTGTTAACTTGCCCAGACTGGTCTCAAACTTGCAATCCTCCTGCCTCAGCCTCTCTGAATGCTGGGATTGCAGCACACACACCCCGCCCCCAGCAAGGGGTTGTTCTTTCATTAGATGGCTAGGGGAAGCCTCACAGGTAAGGGGCATCTGAGCGGAAACTGGAGAAAACAGGGCAAGGGCCACGCATGCATCTGAGGAAGGTGCTGCAAGCAGAGGGCCCAGCACACACGAAGGCCTGGAGGCAGGAGCGGGCCTTCTTTGGTTTAGGGAACCACAGGAGAGCAGTATAGGTGAAGTGAGAGGAAGAGAAGTGAAGGAGTGGAAACATGGCCAGGCCAGAGAGCCTAGGACCTCCTGGAGTACTGGAACAATCTGGACATTTACTCTAAATGATTCAAGAACCTCCAGCAGGTTGTGAGCAGAGAAGGTGTCTATACCATGGTTTTAAAAGACTGATCTGGGTGATGTATGTAGGACGGTCTACGGCAGACTGGTGTCAGGGAGAGGAGAAGGGAAAGGTGCCAAGAAGTCTGTTTAGCAGGTTACCGCGATAATCCAGGCCCACAGATGGTGAGCAGAACGAGGGAAGTAATCAGAAGAGCTATTGGATTCTAGATACATTCTCAAGGGAGAGCTGACAGACTTTGCTGGTGAGTATGATACGTGGGGGAAAAGGTTAGATATAAGATTTTTGGCTCTGCCACTAGAAAAACCTGGCTGCCATTTACTAAGCTGAGAAGACTGCAGGAGGAACAGGTTTGGACACGTGAAGTCAAGTGAAGAAGATGAGATACTGTCTGGGTGGGGGCGCTGAGGAGGGGGTGGACTATCGAGTCTGAAGCACCAGGGAAGACCCTGCCCGGGGATGGAGGGCAAGTGGAGGGCGTGTGAAGCTGAGACTCCCTGTGGGAAGGCGTAAGGCAAGGGGCGGTTGTGGACTGAGCACTGGTGAACTCCAGTGCTCAGAGGTTGTGGGTCTGTAAATCACTCATGGATTGCTATAAAAATGAGAGAACTGATTACAACTTCATAAATGTAGCTTAGACAGACTCAAATTTTTAAATTTACCTGTTTTCTTTTTCTGTTTTGTTTTTTGAGACAGGGTTGCGCTCTGGAGTTCAGGCTGGTCTCACTATGGAGTCCAGGCTGGCCTAGACCTCATAGTGATCCTCCTGCCTTAATTTCCCAAGTGCCAGGATTACAGGCCTGCGCCAACATACAGGCTCCTGGCTTTTACAAATGAAGAAACTGAGCACAAAGAACTCATTTGCCTAAAGTCATGGGATTAGAGATAGATTCTGCCTTTGAATTCAGGCAGCTGAGCTGTCCTCTTCACAATGAATGCAATTCGTTCTAACACAGGTGTTAGGACTGGCTCAGAATCACACTGCCTACCTAAATTAGACGAACTACAAGCTCTGGATACTTAGGCAAGTTATTTAATTTCTCCTTGCCTCAAGTTTCTTAATCAGTAATGTGGGGATAATAATAGTACTGACCTGTTATTGCTAATAAAACTCAGGGGTTGGGGGGAAGTCCTTTTAAAGAGTCACGACAGTGTTTAAAAATTGGACACCGCAAAATGAGAGTATGTTACTGTTTCCAAAATCAAAATCATGCTACATACTTTAAGAACTTCAAGCTGGGCATGGTGTCACATGCCTGTAATCCCAGCACTTGGGAGGCAGAGGTAGAGGCAGCAAGATCACCATGAGTTAGAGGCCAGCCCAGGCTACATAGTCAGTTCAAGGCCAGCCTGAACTACCTAGTGAGACCCTTTCTCAAAAGTAAATATAGGGGCTGGGGATTTAGCTCAGCAGCACAGTGCCTGCCTG